CTTCCTACAGCTCCAGAGAGAGTCCAGCTGCCAGGAGGGAACACTGGGTCACAGGAATGGGGACACTCTAGGCGAAACGGAGAGCTGGGAGGACCGGGCCACAGCTGAACGAAGCTCAGTGGTATCACGATATCTCAGATGACCCCAGCATCGTCACATTCCCAATCCCCCGGGCTGAGGAGGCTACCCCCGAAGCCATAGCTTGCCCTTCCCAGAGCTCCGGCTCTGACAGTGTCTCACGGCAGCTGCCATGTGCTCTTGCTCAGAGCACAACGACTTTGAGATGAATATATAATTCACACTGCGAGAAAGCACCTACAGGAAAGAGGGGCTCGCTGGGGACTGAGAGCCCCTGGCCCTTACCATCGAGCTGTTTGGATTCTGATTCTGTCACTCGCTATGCGCCCTTGAGCACATGACCCTTGGTTTCCTCATCTCTAAAACGGGAATGAAGGTAATAGCTAATATGCTCTTCACATTGTGAGAATCAAGTGAAGATGTGAGTGTAAAGTGTGAGGCCTGGCACGCCATCGTATTAATAATAATAATTATCAATTACCGTTCATTGAATCATTATTCTCTCTCTTCCTCTCTCTAAATGATCTCTTATTACACTTTTCCTCGGGTTTTCCAATCTACAGATTACAGAGTCACAGTATCGAAAATGTCATGAAGAAATGAATCTGCTTATTCCTAGCTGTGGGATCCTGGGCAAGTCAGTTTCTGAACCATAAAAGCAGGCAATTAGAGTAGATGAATTCTAAAGTATGTTCAAGTTCTAATTATTTTGGCATTCTGTACTTACCAGATTTTTTTCTTCCTCTCCAGAGACAGGAAGAATTTAAACAGATGATGGCGATGATGGTGGTGATAGTGATGATAGCAGTTGGTATTTACTGAGCATTTACTATAAACCAGAAACTATAGTAAACACGTAAATTAGCTCATTTAATCCTCACAAAAGTCCTACAAAGGAGTCACTCTTATTGTTGCAAATTCACATATAAGGAAACTCAGAGAAGTTGTGGAGGCTGAAAAATGGCCCCCAACAATAGCAGGTCCTAATCCCCAGAACCTATAAATATGACTTTAGATGGGAACGGGGCCTTTGTAGATATAAATTAAGGATTTTGACATGGGAAGTTTATCTCAGATTATTAAGATAAGCCCTGAATACAATCATATATATCCTTATAAGAAGGAGGTGGAGGGATATTTGACTGCACAGGCAGAAGTAGAGAAGGCCGTGTGACTACGGAGGCAGAGATGGCTGTGATGCCGCCACAAGCCGAGGAATGCAGGCGGCCCCCAGAAATTGGAAGAGGCAGGAACACATTCTCCCCTAGAGCCTCCAGAAGAAGCACGGCCTGGTCAACACTTTAATTTTTCAGCCCAGTGATACCAATTCTGGCCTCCAGAAATGTGAGATAACAAAATTCTGTTGTTCTAAATCACCCGGTTTGTGGCAATTTGTGACAGCGGCCACGGGAAACGCATACAGAGATTAAGTCGTTTTATTCATGATCATAATAAGGGGTGGTGGAGCCAGGATTCAAACCCATCAACATCTGGCCCCAAAACTCAAGCTCTTCAGCATAGTCGGGTTTACCCTATAATACAGACAACAAACAAACAGAAATGGACTAAGTACTAAGCACCAAAAAAGGAAGAAGGAAAAAAAGCATTTGGAATTCCTTTCTGTTCTTTTGTAATTTTCGATTTCTCAGTTGCAGTCGACATACAATGCCGTACTACGCCGCCATCATGACTGGAACTCTGCATTTGGAAATTCATCAACGGCAAGGTAGCGGTCTAAGTGGCTGACCCCGCCAAGTTCATTCTCTCTTCTGCAAACATCTCAGTTTGAGAAACATTACTTTAAAAGTTCATTCTCCCACACACTTTACATCGAAATTAGATCATACTCTCATCGTGGCCAAGAATGTGTGCACTTCAACTAAGAGATACAATTTACAAAAAGAGAAAAGATTATTTAGTTTATAGCTAAAGAGATTACTTGGCAGCCATTTCAGGCTCTTAGTCCACACTTGGCAATCAGAGAAACAGAAGCTGCTATCTTTTTAAAAAGGTTTGTTTCCTTTTTTTCCCCTTCAATTGGGACTCTGTCTCCAATTTTCTAAAAAGGAAAATGAGTAAAGACTAAGAACTTGATTTTTACTCCCCTCGCTTGCTACTTTTTTGACTGTTTCGAGTTCTGCAGCAAGTCAACCATTAGGGAAGCTGGGATTTGAGGTTTGAATTTAATCCTAATATATAAATGTGTCCGCATTTGCCTATGTAGGAATGGGACCTTCAGTTCGAACTCTTAACACACATTAAACCTTCGAGTTTCTACTGAGCCTCTCATAGGCCTTCGCGCATGTCGCCCCATCCACCAACTTTGCTCATCTTAGCTCCCTGCCCTCTTTTTAGACCATTTAAATGGATATGCACAAAGTTTTGAAATAAGTGATCATAAAAGCAGGATGGTCTGCAATGCTCTAAATTAAATGTTCTCAGCCCCGACTTATGGGCACAGAGCAGTAAGCAGGGAGAGAACCGAGAATGGGCCCCCCTTGGCTGTCACAGTATTTCTCAATCATCCGCAAGAAGTCAACTGGAAAAGAAAAACGTTTCCGCATCACTGACGGCCTCAGGAGGTTGTGGTCTGAAGGAACAATAAAATACAGCCTTCTGAGACGAGGCGCCTCCGAGGAAGAAGCTCAGCATTCAGATCTATAATAGTTATAAAAATAGCTGACTGTGTTTGTAGCTAAAAATTAACCTATTTATTCATGATGCATTTCTCTGTATAAGAGCTAGAAGATGTTTTTTTTTTTATTTTTTGGTCTTCTTTAAAGGCAATATGTCAGCAATTTCCTTCTGCCCATGTAATGTTGACAGGTAACATGCTCGTTTTACAAATGATTGAAAGGTACAGAAATAATCTCCAAAAGCTATAAACCCACCAGTGAAGTGAGGAGAAACCAGAAACGAGGTCTGACAACCAACTATCTCTCTATCCTTCTCTCTATCCCTCTCTCTCTCTCTCTCTCTCTCTCTCTCTCTTTCATCTCTATCTCTGTCTATGGATCTATGACACACACACACACACACACACCCTACATAAAAAGCCTTTCAAGGAATCACAAGGCTGGAGGTTTTGGAGGTACCCTGTTTTTTCAGCACAGTCCAGTCCGCCCGTTTACTTTCTACCTTTCCGTTGGTGGCAATTTATCCAACGTGCCTAGTTTTCAACAAAACAGTGTAAATCGTTTAAACCACCATAATAAAAAGTAACAGACGATACAAAAGGACAGACGGAGCCCGTGTCCTGGAAGTCAGAAGCAGCACTGTTCCTTTAGCCCCTCCTGGGTCCCACAGGACTTGGAAATGACAGAAACGATACTCTGGCCCACGTCTCCTTATTCTCTGAGAGAGATTTTTCCCAACGGTTCCTTGCAGACTTGGGGGCAGGGAGAAATGGATGGGCCTCAGCGTCTTCGCTTAGCAGCTGTGTAGCTGTGTAGCTGCAGGCGGGTAACATGAGCCCCCTGAATTTCAGTTTCTTCATCTTTCCGGTGAGATGGGTGATAGCATCTGCCACAGGAGTTCTGGGGAGAAGGAGAGGAGGCTGCAGTCTGCAGCGCTGAACCCAGCCAGGGAGAGGCCAGAACGGAGAGGGAGGCAGACGAGACTGAGGAGCTATAAACACGGAGGAATCTGTGAGGAAGCAGAAAGTGCTGGGCTCTGGGAGGGGAGTAATGGCAGCTTGGAGCCGAGGAGGTGTGGTCAGGGGTGGAGGAGAGGCTGGGGAAGAGGTCTGGACTTAGCTGTGGTCCTCTCGTCCCCACTTCGATCACTACCTGCCCTGCGCTAGGGGGTGCGGGAGCGATTTCAGGGGGGGCACAGAGGTCTGGTGTGAGGAAGAGCCTGACCCCAAATGCTCCCTTCTGATCTTCCATTTGCTAAGGGTCAGGTGATTATAACCAAGGGAAAAAAAATGCCGGGGAAAGAACAAGGAGTTTTCTTGAAAGGCTGGGTGACCTGTGGGGATGGCAAACGGGCACTTATGAGACCTATAATTTAATGCCAGCAGCTCTCCCCTCTGAGATGCCCCACCAACACACACACACGCACACACACACACACACACGCACACACACACGCACACTCACTCACTCATCAGGAGGGCAAAAACTAGGACCTGAACTTTAGCGCTTACTACACATCACCATTGTCACCATACACATCACCATTGTCACCAGGCAGTTTATAACGCTCGGGGAGATGGGAGCTCATGAGAAAATAAATACATATCTAAGGAGTGCAACAGCTATAAATCAGAGACCATCAAGTGAATGCCTCAGAGGAAGCAGAAGGAATGGACTAGACATAAGAAAAATTTTAAATACGCATAATAAATATCTTCAAAGAGATAGACCATTAGGAACAAGTACTAGATAGAATAAGCAGTTATTTAGAAAAATGAATTGGAGCTACATGGTTGTACAGGAGAATGCATATGAAGAAGAAATTAGTGAACCAGAGGATCGGATTGAGAAACTCCACCAGAAGACATCAAGAAGGGACAATGAGGGAAAACATTTAAAAAAGAGAAAAAGATATATATATGTGTGTGTGTGTGTGTGTGTGTGTGTGTGTCTATATATTGACACATAAATATACATACATACATAGAAATGATGCTGAATAATGCTGAATCACTGAATTACGCAATGCAGTGACTTTGAAAATTGGCATCTCAAATGTAGAGAAAAAGTAATTGGGGAAGTTACTAAAAGTAGGAAAAGATATTACAAGAAAAAACTACAAATCGATATCCCTTTTGATGCAAATATTAAATACAAGTAGATGCAAATATTCTGAACAAAGTTTTAGCAAATCGACTCAAACAATACATAAAAAAGAATAAGACAGGATGTCCTAGTGGGATTTCTCTCACAAGGTTTGTTTAACACTCAAAATTCATCAGTGCGGTGCTCGCTTCAGCCGCACGTGGACTAAAATTGGAACTCGAGAGATTAGCACGGCCCCTGCACAAGGATGACATGCAAATTTGTGAAGCGTTTCATATTTTTCTGGGTGAAAAAGGTGAAGGGATTTAGAAGTACAAATTGGTAGTTACAAAATAGTAAGGGGAATGTAAAGTACAGCATTGAGAATATAGCCGATAACATTGCAATACTATGTATGATGCCAGGTGGGTGCTACACTAATCAGGGGGAATCACTTTCAAATTATAAAAATGTCTAACCACGGTGCTGTACACCTGAAACTCATATAAAATAATATTAAATGTCAACTTATTGAAAAAAATTATATCGACCAGTGAAATTCACCATATTAATAGCCTAAAATAAAAAACTATATTGAGGAGTTCTCGATAGATGTAGAACATGCATTTGACAAAAATCCAAAATCCAACATCAGATGGAATATTTATAGCTACAATATCTGTAACAGTCTCAAACTGGTAACAACCCAAGTATCCATCAACAGTAAAATGGATAAAAAATATTTTGGTATATTTATACAGTGAAATATATATAGCAATGAAAATGAATGAATCATAAGTAATACAGCAATACTGACTCTACTTGCTCTTATGATGGAATATCAAGCAAGAAAAGCCAAATTTAAGTATATTAATATAACAGTCCAAGACAGGCGAACTTAAACTATATGGTTTAGGGATATATGCCTAAGTGACAAAACTATAAAGAAAAGCAAGGAAATGATTACCATAGAAACCAGGATGATGCTTACCTTTGGATGGGGTTGGGAGGATTGTGATGGAGAACACGCACTGAATGGGCTTCTGAGATATTGGAAATGTTCTGTTTCTTTGCCTGAGTGGTAGTCATACAAGTGAAGCTTTATAATAATTAATTAGCTGTACATCTATTTCTTATGCATTTTTCTGAACCGGTATAACATTCCATAACAAAATGGTAGGGAAGAGAACAAGGAAAAAGATATGTTAGCCAAATATCAACCGAAACAACACAAAAATAGCAATTTAATAATTAAGAAGATAGAAATTAATATGAACAACTTCATAAGAGACAAAGAGGCAAAAGATAATATGAAATATAATAATTATGAGTATATCTTCCATAAAACACGGCCTCAAAACCACAGAGAAAAATAGATACATCCATAATTGTAATAGAGATTTTATTTTACAGTCTTAGAAATAAATAGATCCACCAGAAATCAGAAAAAAAGTGAGCAAAAATAGGATTTCAATGACATAATCAATAATTTGGAATTAATAAATACGTGTAGAACTTTATACCTGATAAACAGAGACTATACAGTGAGATACATGGAACAGTTGCAAAACTTAACCATGTGTAAGGCCACAGGGAAGCGCTGACAGATTCCTCCAGATCAACATCATTTTGACAATTGTTCTCAGAGCACAACACAATAAAATGAGAAATAAATGTTAAATTGATTTCATTATAACTCCAGATGCGTGAATAGAAAATCTAAAAGTATTACTAAATAACACTTGAAAATAAAATCATAAAAGGTATCACGAAAGACATAGCAATGAGTGACAGTATGAGTAACACACGTCAGAATTGGTGGAATATAGTTAAAAACAATACTGTAGAAAAATGTATAACTTTAAATACAAGTATTAGAAAAGAAAACAGAAAATATGTAACTGTTCAATTCAAGAGGCCAAAAAAAGAACAAACTCAGAGAACAGAAGGAGAGGGGGTAAAAAGGCGAAGAACAAAGATTTCAATAAACAAAATTAACCAAATTGAGAGTTAGTTTTTATCAGGATAGTGGTTGCCTCTGGGGTTTTGGGGGGAAATGATAAAGAAAGAGGGAAGGAGGGGGCTCTGGGTGCCCGTGATGTTGTCTGTCAGGTGCTAATTGTTTGGCTGTGTCTGTGAAAGGTGGAGCTGTAGGCTTAGGAAATGTACACCTTTCTGTATGTACATTGTGCTTCGCTAAGAAATACAATAGCTGGTTCTTTGAAAAAAAACTAAGCTAGAGACAAAAATAATAAAGAAAAAGAGAAAAGATGTAAATAAATACAATTTATACTGAAAAAGAGAAAACCATTACAGACATAAACATTATAAAAGGGAATATTTTGTTCAATGCTTTGTCTAGGTAACCATTCAAGAAAGCGACATGGTCCTTAGACCATCCTCCTGCCCCAACTGTAGCTCACGACAAAAAGGCCCAGGTTTAGATTGCTTTATGGGAGCTCTACCGGCCTTTCAAAGTGTAAGTGATCCGTGTCATCTACAATTGGTTCCAGAAAAACAGAAAAAGAGGAAAGATCGAATCTCATCTTCTCAGCGGGTCTTGCCTGTCTACGCTAAATAAAACTGAATCCCTGTTTTATTTGCTTAGCATTTCCCACCATCCATCATACTATTATTTTACTTATTTGTTTATTATCTGTCTCCTCTCACTAGACTCTAAATCCCACGATGACAGGATTTTTGTAGTACTCCAACACCTGGAACAGTGTTTGGCACATAGCGGTTCTCATTAATACCTTTCAAATATTTATTCAATTAATTAAATATCTTCAACTAATTTTACAAAGCTAATACAACCTTTAATTACAAAATTGGATAAGAATAAAATGTCGAAAAGGAAAGCATGAGTTCATTTTTTTTGGGATTTTTGCTCTTAAGAGCAAAAATAAACTATTAACTAGCTGAAACTAACAATGCTGGAGCGAAAGAACGATTTAAGATGAAAAAGTTTAAAAGTATAATTCTCAGCATTAATAGCCTAAGGGTGAAAATCACGTGAGTTGAAAAAAGCCCTTGGTAATTCGACGTAGAAATTTTCTTTAAAATCAAAAATAGAAGAAAACTTCTATTCTATTCTCCCCAAAACCTACAACTGTCACATACCTTAGAAAATCTCTTTAGGCATTCCTATTTCATTCTGAAACAAGGCAAAGACTCCTGAGATGACATTTTCTGTTAAACAGAGTGCTGAAAGCTTGCTGGATACAACATAAACTTCAAAATATTACGCTATATCTCTACAACAATTATATCTTACCAGGACATAAAAAAGACCTTTTATAATAGCAATAAACACTGCAATCAGGAAATAACCTAACAGATGCACAAAACCATTACAGAGAAAAATCTAAACCTTTATAGTGAAATATTAAAAATAAAATAAAGGATATTTATTATGCTCATCGATAAGACAATTAACATTTGTGAAGTATAGGGACGATTCTAATTAATTCTAATTAATCTCTCTCATCTGGATCTCTGCCGTGAACTCCAGGCTCAAATTACCTATTTGACGTGGCAACTCGGATGACTAAACTCATCTTCAATTTAAAATGAACAAAATAAAGCAATTGAATCTCTTTCTTTCTCTCACTCTTCCCATCTAATCAACTGGCAAATCCTTTCCACTCTACCTTCAAAATAGTTCCAGAATTTCCACACTCAACCAGCTCCGCTACCGTTGACCGCCCTGGTCTAAGCTTCCAGTGCCCAAACTGCCACGGTGGCCTTCCAGTTGGTCTCCTCATTTCTGTGCTTCCACTCCTGCCCACCCGCTTTCCACTTGTCCCCTATAGCAGTCAGAGTTGATGACATCAAACGAACATTGGGCGATGTCACTCCTCTGCTCCCTCCTTCCAACAGCAATCTGTCTCACTCAAGGTGAAAGCATGGTCTTTACAATGGCCTACCACGTGAGGCCATCATCTCTCCACACCTCTGGATTTCTCCGACCTCATCTACTATCCATAGCCCACTCGCTTCCCCCCAGCACACTGACTCCCTGCTGTTCCTCGGACATGCCAGAACTCCTGCAGGAGCTTCTGCGTTTGCTGTTTCCACTGCCTGCATCACTCTGCCCGCAGATCTTTGTGGGCTTTCTCTATTACTTTCTCCAAGTTTTGAGACAACCATCTGAATGGGAAACTATATTTGCAAGCAACGCCTCCAATAAGGGCTTAATATCCAAAATATACAAAGAACTCATACAACTCAATAACAACACAAAAACCAAATGATTCAATAAAAAAATGGGCAGAGGACCTGAACAGATACTTCTCCCTAGAGGACATACACATGGCCAACAACTATAAGAAAAGATGCTCAACATCGCTAGATATAAGGAAAATGCAAATCAAAACCACAATGAGATATCACCTCACATCTGTTAGAATCGCTATAATCAACAGGACAAGTAATAACAAATGTTGGAGAGGATGCGGAGAAAAAATAACCCTCATACACTGCTGGTGGGACTGCAAATTGGTAGAATCACTATGGAAAACAGTATGGAGGTTTCTCAAAAAACTAAGAATTGATCTACCATATGATCAAGCAATTTCTCTACTGGGTATTTACCTCAAAGACTTGAAAATCCATATCCAAAAAGTGCGGTGACAGAAAGAAATCTAGCTATGGGAGGTGAACACACAGTGTAAATATATATATGCCTTACTGGTAAAGTGTACAGCTGAAACTTATTGGATTTCATTAACCAATGTCACCATAAAAAAATAATAAATTAAAAAAAAAAGATGGGTAATTTCTCCAAGTTTAAATGACGTTTTTGTTTGTTTGTTTTCAGAGACACCTTTCCTGACACGTCCCCAAAGAATTCCTCACGCATTGCTGGTGAGAAAGTAAATAAAATCCCAATGGGGTGCAATTTGGCCATACATAGGATAATTCAAATTCTATATACCTTTTGATCTTGCAATTTCACTGCTAGGAATTTGCCTTAACATATGTTTACACGCACACAAAATGATGCATCTTCCAGGCCGTTCACTGTAGCACTGTGTGAGGTGACCCAAACTGCCGTCAGCCAAAGCGCTACCACTAGATAGATGACTTGGTAGTAATGGGATGTACGTGCTGCTGGGAGAGAAGGATGATTCCCAGGTATATTTAATGTGAAAAAAGCAAGGTGTAGAATAGCACAGAACTACATTTCTGTTGAAAAAAAAAAACGTAACAGGGGAGGGGTCCTGGGAGGCTGGAGGCCAGGGGTGCGAGGAGAAGGTGGTCCTGTCTCTCAATATTCTCTGGCATTTCTTGCATTTTGA